GGGGGATGAAACGACCCGAGCCGTGGGCGATGGCCGCCCCCGCGCCGTCTCCAGCGGGCGAGGAAGCGCCGTCCTCGCCCGCGCGCCCCGCGCGCACCTGGGCGAGCGCTTCCCCACGTCCTCCGAGAGCGCACGCGCGAGAGGTAGCCCCCTCCGCCCCCCAGCGACCCGAGGGCGACCAGTAGGCGGGGCCATGACACTACGCACGCGCGCAGAGACACATAGGCGGAAGTGGCCGCCGGCGCCCGCAAAGCGAGGACCTTTGCATGGAGGCGGCAACCGTGGCGGAAAGGGCGAGTGTAATCCCAGAGGAGAAGCAGGAGGTGATGGCGACGGACCTGGGGAGGGGGAGACACTTGTGTGGCTGGCGCCACGCAGTCCGGGGTCACCCTTCCAGGTGACACACCGGCTTGAGGAGCGGACGTGCCTCCCGGGCCTTTCGTCTTGTTTGGGACCCAGACCCCCCCGTCCCCGCCCCCGCCCGGGAGAGCCCATTCTCTCCCCTAAAAATCTTGCGGGGAGAGAGCGAGGGCGGGATTGAGAGCGCGGGCCGCTTCCTTCTGCTGGACGGGAACCCGCTGTCCCGGTGTCTAGGGGGGGGCATCTGCTGCCCTCTGCCCCTCCGCCCTCCCCCCGGGGTCTGTGCGCTCGCCGGCCCGCGGGCGCCTACGGGGGCGCCTCTCGGAGCCCCGAGGAGTGTCAGGCGCCTGGGGGCCCCAGGACTGCGTTGTAGTTGCGCTTCGTGCGGGCTCCGCGTTCAGTCGAGTGCTCGGCTGTCCACTGGATTTGCCGTGCAAGGTGATTGTTCTTACAAGATTATTAAATTAAGGTCAGAAACTTCCCCCGGAAGCTATGCCGATCCTCCAGGGTTTTTTGCAGCTTAATTTTCTCCCCCACCTTTTTATTTTTATTTTTTAAATATTGAACGAAGGCCGGAAGAGTTGGTGTGCTGAGAGGGATTTGTTTTTTCAGTGTTGGGCATACTCGTTTTTTTCTGCAGTAGGGTATCAGATGGGGAAAACGGTTTTTTGGATAAACATTTTCTAAGTGAATTGGGATAGTTTGGGACTTGGAAGAGAGAGAGCAGCATTTGAAAATAGTTTAGATAAGTGGGTCTTTTTAATACTTTATAGATATGAAATACATGTGTGTATTAAATCCTAAGTTTAGCTTTCTCCCTTGGGAAAAAAGAGTAACCCTCAAAAAGTAGTACATGGTTTCTTAAACTTTGTGTAATGAAATATGTACAAAGAATTGGGACAGAATTTTGTTCATCTCTGTTTTATAATCATACCCCGTAGGTCTGAGTGCAGTTAATTTAAATATAATGGCAAGGTTCTTTTATTTGTGGCAATGAGTGTGACAAAATACAGAATCAAGCTTATTCCAGGTTACTTACACTGAAATGCCATAATTTCCTCATATTTACCCTTTTGTTGTGGGAGGGTTTTCTTCTAAAGGTTGGGGAAGACTAAGAGATTTACTGAAATAAGTTTGATTTCAGAAGGTCATTGTAAATGAACATTATCACCAGTTATTTATAAGTTTCTAAATTTCACTATTTGCTAGAATTGCTACCTTTATTCAATTTTAGCTGTTATTTGTACCTTCAGGTAACTAAATTAAATATCTGCGTTGTCTTTAGTAAGATACCTTAGGCAGTGATTCACAGCTGTGGGGTTTTTGTACTTAGTTTCAAGAGTTACTATAAACTTCTAAAGCAAAGCAAAATGTTGGTCATTTAATTTGAAAACTAAAGTTAACTTTATGCTTGATATTATTTTCCCTGCACCACAAGAACATTGACTGATTTCTTTAGATGTAGATTAATGACATCATTAATATCTGAAATGGAAGGGATATGGCAAATATTCAGGATAATTATTGGGTGTCAGAGCTCACAGGGTCTTCCTTCATCAGTCACGTGATCTGACCAATGATGTATTCTGATTAATAAAACTGCATTCTAAATGCAAAGCCTTAAAGGGTAGATTTTCTGCTGCTGGTGCCTCAAATAAGCAAAAGAAATTAATTTATTTCCATGTTCATTTTAGACAGTTTGTGGAAAATTTCAGTAGGGATTGTCAGTATTTTGGCACAGATGTCCAAGAAGTAACAGTGTTGGAGGGACTTAACTGCATGTCTGGCATGGGTCTGTGGCTCATGAGATTGCCAATAGATGTGTTAAAAGTGGCCAAGTATTAGAAAGAAGAGAAGTACTATTGATTAAATAGTGTTTGCTAACATGCAATGGAGTCCATTTAATATGTTACACTTTTAAGTTTACAGTTGTAAGTATGCAAAGCACAGTTTATTGTATTATTATTTATTGTATTATTTTCCATACTATCAACTGTAACCTACTTTTGCCCCACCCTGTATAAATCCAAAGAAAATCCACAGTAATCTATGGAGGCTTCATGATTTTTTTTTTTTTTACAAACTAACAATGATGTGTTTCCCAGCTTTTTGCAGTCCCAAAGACTTTCTCCCAAAGATATTTTTATTTTGTTTTTAAACAGTTTTATTGAGCTATAATTGATATACAAAAAACTATACATTTAATATATACAATTTGATGAATTTGGATATATGCATATACCTGTGATGCCATTACCATAATTAAGGTAATAAACATATCTATCATCTCTAAAAATTTGTGTCCCCTTCTGTGTGTGTTTGTGTGGTTAAGGACACTTAACATGAGATCTACCCTGTTAACTAATTTTAAGCGCACAATACCTTGTTTTTAACTATAGGCACTATGTTGTATAGCAGATCTCTAGAACCTACTTATCTTGTTTAACTGAAACTTTACACCTGTTGAACAACACCCAAAGACACTTAAAATTAAAATGATTTTCTCCAAAGAAAGAAACCTTTTTTACTGAGGAGATGCTATTGTTAAAGCATATCCTCCTCTCTGTAGTCTGATAAATCTAACTTTTTAAGTAACTTAGAGTTGTCTGGCTTTATTTTAAAATGTCATTAGCAAATATATTTTACATTTTTCTTAGTATGTAGAGGAGCATCAGCCATTCTTTAATCTTCTGCAAATAAGGGTTGACATTAATGTCAAAGATGTTATGCATAAACTGTCATGGGCTTTAAAAGTTACATCCTTACTACATATAAAAATATAAAGGTGTGTTTACACAAGGTTAGTTTTTGGTTTATTGCTGTGGAAATGAGAATGGTATATGTTTAATTTAATGATCTGTTGGTCTTTATTAGGTGAAAATAAATTGGAGAGTTGACATTGTTTTTTGGTTGACTGGAACCTTGAATAGGGGAATTAGTATATTAATATCCAGAGACAAGACTTACCTGTATAATTTTTAAAGTGTGATTTGAAATATTATTTGGAGCACAATACTTTATGATCCAAATGTTTTGCTTAAATGACCTATTTCCTTCTTTAGGACTTAGCTCAGCAAGCAAAAGAAAAACTGAACAAAGGAGAGGAAATCACCAAAGACACCTTTGGAAGCACTGAATGTGGCAAACTAAGGACAATGGATCTCAAGTTCAGCAACTCCAGGAAATATATTTCTATAACTGTCCCATCCAAAACCCAAACAATGTCACCACACATCAAGTCAATAGATGACATTGTCGTACTTGGCATAAATCTTAGCAGATTTAACAAACTTACTCAATTTTTCATTTGTGTTGCTGGAGTTTTTGTATTTTACCTCATTTATGGATATTTACAGGTAAAAAATAGTTACTTGTTTATGGTAATTATAACAGTTAAAGTCAATAAGAGCGCTTAGTTTTGTTCAAGATGTTTTGCTTTCTAAGCTACTGGTTTCTTCACAGATTTGAGGCTTTCAGTATAGTTGTAGAAAAGGGCTTCTTAAAAGTGCTGAAAACAGAGGTCAAAGTTCCAGAATTCAATACTTTAAGTGAGGGAAAGGGAACAAAGGCAATCTTAAAAAATTAAAATTATGAAAAAAAATGAAATATTTAACAATGTAGGTAATAATTGCAAGCATGTGTTTGTTTTTAAAAGTGAATTCAAGTATTAATTGGTATTTTGGAACATAATTCTCCAGGGAAATTGAATGATAGCACAAAGGCCACATTCCAGTTTAGTCTTCATTCTTGGAGCTTAATAATAATTGGTCATTTTTGAAAAAGCATATAAGAATGTTTTATATTTTTCCAAGGGTATCTTTTTTATTCTGTGATCATAGAATCATTTTGTGTGGGGTTGTTTTGAGACACCTATTGTGTTTTCATTCTTACTGGTTTCTTTTTCTATTCTAACTTTGCCAGAACCTTATTTTTTTGTTTCTTTGTTTGTTTTTTACCTGTGCCAAACATTTCTAACATTGCCACAATTTGTCTCACATTTGCACTCTGTTATGGCATAGTTGTGTACATTTGACCAGCAGTAAATTCCTGACCTTCAAAGACATGGGCTGGATGGCAGGATCCAGGTTAGTGTAAACAGAATGTTGGAATGGATTAATAGTATTAATGGTCAGTTCATTAGTATTTTCAGCCATTACCAACTTTGCTTTTTTTTGCAACTCCCTAACATGAGAGAATCCCTTATAATTCAAGAAAAGGAAAGTGATGTGTTTTTTTCAAACACAGATATTTCTGGTATTCTGTAGTATTAATCAGAGTGAGCTTAATCATTGTATTCTTCCATTGTCTGAAAGAGATGAAATATAAGACATAAGTATAAATAAAGAAGGTGATCTGCGACTATTCTTTAGCGTATAAAAATAGATGAAGAGTATTAGTGTAAAACAAAAATGTGAATTAGAAATCTTAATATTTATAATAACTAATTTTCCCACTACCAAATGATATAAAAATTCAGATATCACAGTGAAGAACAATAAAAAATAGTAAATTTTATCAAATAAAGGTTAGAATTCTTGCTGAAAAACACTTTTTTCCTTTATCATTCTTATCTAATAGTTTGGGAGCAAAGTTAGTCATTGCAGAGGAAAATAAATTAGTAATTTACTGTACAAATTTTATTAAATTTTATCTATTAATGAGCAGAGACTTTATAACTAACGTGCAAAATATCTGTTAAAATTAGATAAATCGCAGTAATTATGTTTGTAACATCACTGTCACTGTGAAAACTGACTTTGGTACTAATTTACATATAATTGCATGTTAAAATACTTTAAAGAAAATGGTTGGAGTTTTGTAATGAAATTAGCTATATATATATAATCTGAATGCCAAAATACTTATTAAAGCTTATTTTCATGTTTTATAGTTCATAAACCAGAAAAATCATAAATTCTTTGTAGACTTACTTAACATGAAATCTAAATTTGAGGAAGTATATAGTATCCTAAATGTACAAAATCTATTTCAGGGTCTGTTTAGAAGCTATGTTTAGTTTTTCTTTGAAAGGAAATTTATACATAAATTTCTCCTTAAAATTTATTTAAAATACAGTTGAAATATATGTGGGGGAAATTTGACTTTTTTAGATTAAGCAAAATAACTTTATTAGGACACCTCTCAATGACTTGTTAAGAATGTCTCATAAGAATCACTAAATGTTACTTCATGATATAACATGTTTAGGCAAAAGGAAGAGGTTTTATATAATCTGTGGCATAGGTATTCTAAAATTGACATTAAATTGATTTGAACTGATTATAGTTCCATAGAAAAACAGGCCTGAGATAGTAGACTTCTAATGAATAGTAAATGAGCTCTTGAATCAGGTACCTTTCTTATTCTGGGAGCAACTCTTTTAATTTTGGTCTTTTAAAAAAGAGAAAAAGCCCCTGGCTTGGTAGCTCAGTTGGTTAGCATGCCGTCCCAGTACGACAAGGTTGTGGGTTCCATCCACAGTCAGGGCACATACAAGAATCAACCAATGAATGCAGAAATAAGTGGAACAACAAATCGATGTTTCTTTCCCTTCCTCTCTCTAAAATCAGTAAATTAAAAGAAAGAGAGTGAGAAGCATAGAATAATGTTGCTTCATAGCTATTCCTTACCTTTTTTATTTTCCTCCTGATTTTCATACCTGGACATCTAGTGTCAGTTCTTTGGAAAGACCTCCTAACTTCTCTATACCTCTGAGAAGTTTCGTGATTTGAGTGTTTTTTAAATGTTGTGTTTATAGGAATTTACTGTGAGGAAATTGGTCAGCCTCTTGAACTTAACAGTATTCATATATCTTTTGACAGGAATTAATATTTTCAGTGGAGGGCTTTAAGCCCTATGGCTGGTACCTTACTTTAGTACAGTTTGCATTTTACTCCATATTTGGCCTAATAGAACTTCAGCTTATACAGGACAAAAGGAGAAGGTATGTGGTTTGTTTTCATTTTTTTGACAGTTAAGTTCACTCGTAGTTAAATTTTTGTTTTGCTCTTTGGGCATACAGAGTATATTATACATGACCTATATTCATTTTCCATTAATAAAACATATCTAATACCCAAGCACTTTTATCAGTATAATCAACTTATTAAAAATGTTAAATATGATATTTTCATTATACATTGAAAAAAGTAATCCCTAAATGTAAGTTATCAAATAAAAAATGTAACTTGGGCTCGACTTGTAGTAAATATATCTTGAAATGAGAAAGTATTCATATGTACATGTGTTTCTTTAAGTTTCCCTGAAATAGATGTGATTACTGAAAGGTTTACAGCTCTACTACATCGAAGTGGTGAAATGAAATACCAATATCTGTTTTTATAGTGGTTTTTAAAATTTATAGTTATGCTTTGTTTTATGAGATATATTTTACTAAACATTGTCATATTTGTAATGTCCAGTAGCTGAGAGTGCATTATTAGACACCAGAGAAATTTAATAATACTCCTTTTCATCAAAACCAAAGGAGCTTGTTTGACAATACATTTTAAATGAGCTATCTAGATTGTAGAAACACCTCCATATATTTTTAATGGCATATAGAACAATATGCAATAAAACCTTACTTCTGATTATAATTAGAAGGTGGTGAGGAAATTTAATATAAATTTTTGGTAAATGTAAGTGTGGTTATACTGACATATCAGAGCCTAATATGTGAATATTTCACATATATATTGGGCAGTTTACAATATAATAAGGAGCTTTAATACTGTACTGATATTTTGTTTTCATTGATATAAATGTTTAATCCTTCAGTGAAAATAAATTTTCACAGCTTTTATATATTTAATAAATGTTTTTGATGTTTGTATGAAGATAACTATAAAATTTTAAATTTTTAAATCTGTATCTTCAATATTTCTTCATGAGTCTAATTTTACTTCTCGACCTCTCTATATCACCAATAAATTATTATAGCAGTGATATTAAAAATGTTTGAATCTGAGGATATCTTCATTATTTTCATGCTCTGAAACTGTACAAGACTTAGCCACAGGTGGTAGAATAGAAAGTAACTAAATATATCTGTCAAAACTAATACATAAGGGACCCTTATGATTCATTACCTGTTGCAAACTGCTGGACTTCTGTTACTTCTAAATTAAAAGAATCTAATACTGTCTCTATCAAATGAAAAGTGACAAAGAAACTGCATCTCCTCAATGTTAAATTTAATAAAAAGATACACCTCCCTCTCAGCTACCCAAGTGAAGTGGGGAGTGGGCCTCAAGCCATGTGTATCCCAACCATTAAACCATATGATTGGGCATATTTAAAGGTAACATCATTTGTGTTTGGTTTAAACATAAGTGATTTGGTAGAAGAATGTATAGATGTATAATAAATACAAATATGAACTGAAACCTTTTTATTCCAAAGCACATGAAAAACTATTTTATAAAAAGTCTTTGAAAGTATGTTACAATGAAAATATGCCTAATCTTATATTTCTGAATTTATTTCTGAGTATATGCCCATCTCTGAATTTATTTAAGTGGCACTACTCTAGACCTCTGCTTAAGTTTTTCTTCCTTTGTTTTTATGATACCAGTGTACTTGAAAGAGTACAGGGCTTGGAGTCAGAAAACATGGCTTTGAGTCTTACACTGCCTCTTATTAGCTCTGTAAGAGCTCAGGGAAGTTCCTTAAATTCTCTTCATTTTATTTTGGGGATCAAATGTGGTAATGTGTGGTGAAGCACATGGTCAAGTATAATACCATAAATATACTACTTATTATTTTTCAACAAAGATTACACTGTAACTTTATTAATTACTTTGTGAGTTTTTAATAAAAGAGATCTGTCAAATTGGTTTTGATGGGCTTTTTAAAGTTAAAATTTTCCCACCGTATATAAGGAAGTAAGCATTTGGGGTGTTAAATAAAAACAGAAACAATGAGAGTCCTAGAGGCAAGATGATGAACTCTACCTTCCTTATTTACCAATGAGAAAACAGACCTAGAGGATTGCTGCGATTTTCTTGAGATCATATAGCAAGTTGCTCAGAGTTGGAGCCTTTTGAATTTAGGTTTCCTGGGTTTCAGGCTGGTGATTTTTTTCCTACCAGTACTATACTGCTTTTCTAATCATCATTCCTTGTGATTTTTCTGGCTTGAATTTTTTATTTTCTGGCCACTGTTTGACTAATGGGACATCTGTTCTTACCTAGAGAAGCAGAGCTGTCCTGCTTCCCTGATGATATCCACTAAGGGTTAAAGCCCACAGACAGCATAGAACCAGTGTTGGTGTACACTGATGCGCACGGGCATGCCAGATTATTTCCATGTGGATTTTAAATGTTCACCACTGTATTAGTTAAGTAGGAAAGGCCTCAAAATTGAGATGTAAGGTTCGAAATGATGCATCCTAATTGAATTTTTACAGTGAATTATTTTACCTTACATCTAGCCATATTAAAATATGAAAGAATTTTGTTCCCTTGATTTAAACATAAGCACAAATCCTAAAATAGAAACTGGATCTAAGGAGGCATTATAATGTAATTATGTGAATAGTGCTTCCTATGTTAGTCACACCAATGTACAAGATTATTTTTTTCACTTTATTATTTTTTATAATTTATCTTTATTGTTGAAAGTATTGTAGATGTCCCCGTTTTTCCCCCATTGGCCTCCTCCCCCAACCCCTCCCAGGCCTTCACCACACTATTGTCTTTGTCCAGGGTTAGGCTTATATGCATATAAGTTCTTTGGTTAATCTCTCCCCACCCCCGCCTTCCCTCTGAGAAGATTATTATTTTAGACCATTAAATATCTAGTCAAAGTGAGCATATGCTCACAATGATAGCTCAGAAATTCTGAAGATGCCAAATTAAGAATTTCCTTTAGAAAATCCAGCTAGAACTCAAGAGTAGAAGATTTGGGATCATAAGAAGAAAGTCAGATTCCTCATCAGGAAATTGATTGTTTTAACATTTTACAGAATACAGACAGATGAATCATAAGATATTGTAATAATAAATATTATGTCCGGAGTTTTAAACATGTAATTTTTCTAGAGAAATTCTGCTCAGGTTACTCTAGCAGAATGAATGGATGTATTTTTCCTAATGCTAGATGGAAACATTAAGAAATAGAACAATTTAGAATTTATAAATTAGTTAAGGTGTCTTTTACCATTATAGAGGTCAATATTTTAAAATATTTTTTTAAATTTTTCTTTCTAAATTTAGTCAAGATAGTTTTTATACCTTATACCTACAGTAAGAATCTAAGTGACTTTAATATACCACTTTTTCTCACAGTTGGGAGTTCTCATTTAAGATCAATTATATAAGAGTGAATTGTTATTTTTACCGACATTCTTTTATGTAAGTAAACAATGTTATAACTTTAAAATGGTGATATTTAACCAATATTTCTAGAAATAGTAAACAAATAAAAAGAGTATGTAGACATTTACACATTGTAAACACATTATCTAACAAGTATGAATTGGGTCCCAAAATGAAGATTTTAAAAATTGTCTTTTACAGAATACCAGGAAAAACCTACATGATAATAGCTTTTCTAACTGTGGGTACTATGGGGTTATCAAACACTTCCTTGGGCTACCTGAATTACCCTACCCAAGTCATCTTCAAGTGCTGCAAGTTGATTCCTGTTATGCTAGGAGGAGTGTTTATTCAAGGTATAGTAATGATGTATTTTCATCCTGTTTGAAACTAGTAGGATATTTTATAGCATCTAGCATTAGGAAAAATATTAAACTTTGGTCAACTTATTGAACATTCTAGATATTGGTGTAACAATTCTGATATAAAAATACTAAAACATCTCTGATCTACCTTAGTATCTGAAATCAATAATTTGAACTCAGAATAAAAACAGTATTGTTTTATTCTCTTACTCTGGAATCTTACTACTTACATTTCCAGAAATACTATATTCACATATTGAAGGCCTAGCAGGAGTACCTAAGTACCTGGAAAGCTCCTTTTTTCAGTTATTTCATTCCTATACTCTTCAGGGCTCTGCTCTCTACCTCCATTATACAAATGGACAGTTCTCATATTGAAGTAAAGCTTAACCTGAGCAGAACTGCTTTTTTTACCAATTCTCCCGGCTTCTTGATTTCCTAGAGCCCCAACCAAGTTACAAGCTTGGTGAAAATAGCAGTTAAAGAGGAGGCAGTGATAGCAGAAACCAGCAGAACAAGTTCATGTCGCTGTCATGAGGAATATTCATGCTTTGATAATCAAGTGTTTCTGTGTCACTAATATCCTTATACAGCCTGACTTCCTTTTATACATTAGATGCCTTCCCAAAAATGCCTTTTGATGAAAGCATGTGTGTCAACTACTTTACATATCCTGAAATTTCAGGATAACTGTTCACACAGGAAAAAACTGATCTCAATCCCTATTAAAAATCACATTTAGTGACATAACTAACTGTGTATAGTATTTCCTTACAGTCCTTCCAAGAAGTTACACTACATGGTTTCGTTATTTAAATGTGACTATATTAAAATAAGTCAGTCCTTACCAACCTAGTAGTTATTTGATTATGTTATTTGCAAACTTAAAACAGTTCTATAGCCTGAATAATTACTCTCGTTACTTTGTAAACTTATAAACTAGAAGAAAATTCATAGCCTTATATTATACATAAAGAAAAAGGCATTAATTTCCATAAACTTTTTAAATGTTCATCTTTACTTACTACCATGACAGATAAAATAGAATCTCATACCTAACACATTGGTGCTCACTGATCACTTAATTTTCAGAAGCCCTTCTGTGACTATTTTCATGCCTTGACCTAAGTGTTCTTCATATACTTTTGACAGTAGATATAAAAAGCAGACTCCTGATCTTGCTTAAACACACAGATCTGAAACTTTGCTGAGTGGGTCTTTCCAATCTGAGGTTGACTAACATTTCTGTCACACAGGCAAGCGTTACAATATTGCAGATGTGTCTGCTGCCGTGTGTATGAGCCTTGGTCTGATATGGTTTACCCTTGCTGACAGCACAATTGCCCCCAATTTCAATCTTACAGGTAAGGAATTTTATTGTCTTCCTAGATTTTGTAGGCAGTTTGGTTTACAGTAAGAATTTTTACAACTTTATAAGGATTTTAAGTGATGATGTGACATCTGTAATTCTCATATCCAACATAAAGCTTTCAGACTTTCCAAATAAGATATAGTAAAAATATTACAACTCTGGAAATATAGCAATTGTTTTTAGTACTCATGTAATTTGACGTGACAGAAAGCTGTTTGCCCAGTCAAAATCTTATGTTACCACGTACGTGATAGATCAATTTCTTACCTGCTGAATTGGAAATAGACACATGAATTATAGGCAAATCCTAGGAATTCTTTTATTCTCCTTTTTTAAGCTGAAACTTGTGCATTTGTTTGTCCCTGTTGTAGCTAGAGGGAGAGATACGTTGTGCTTTAGGACTAACCTGGGTGACATAAACATGGCTGTAACCCTAATGTGCCTAACATTTCCTTAGCAGTGCGCTCTGTGGAACTTTCTAAACTCACTTTAGATTTTTTCACAAGCAGAATAGGTGTTATAGGATGTTTAGAAATCAGAATAAAAAATGTTAGAATCTTGTTTTCATTCTCAAGACCTGATGGGGAAATTATTTATATCTGCATATTGTCATTCTTAAGTCTTAAGTTTTACTCATAAGATTATGTTAGTGTCATCCCATCTCCCCATCTCCTACCCTGACAAAAATAGTATTTAAAATACCTAGGTCTTCAAAGGAACTCTGAGAGAAACAGAAAAAAAATACATATACACACAAACACACACACATATATATTACAAAGTATAGTAAATACAGTTACTTGTGAGGAAAAAGTACTGCATAATGAAGAAAATCATTCACATCAGCTTCACTATTTTTACCTGTTGTTTAGTCAACCTCTCTTTCTGGTTAACCAGGCTAAGTTAAGGGGTTTAAGTTTAACCAGGTCAGTGTCTTGGAGCTGCCCTTTGAGAACCAGAAGATGTGGTAGAACCTCTCACATCTGTTCTTCGCCTTGGATCAGAGTGCAAGGGATTCTTGCTTCAATGAGTTTGACACTGAGAAAGCTAATAGTTGCAGGTGTTTCTAACATGGTTTAGATTTTTTAGAAACACTTTGTTCTCATGTCCGAAAACCTAAAAGGAAGATTATATTTGAAAGCTGAGGAAATTGACTCTTCTACTTAATGGAAAGGCAGTTTTAGACAAGGCACAGAACTTGCTATGAGAGACATGGCTTCACATTCTGGTTGGATCACTTAGAATGTAACCGTGGCTAAAGCACCACATCCCTTTGTGCTTCCCTGGCCCAGAGGTAATGGTGGTAGTTTGCCTCACGCCCAGGAGGTGAGAGGGTGGAATGAGATGATGGAGCAGTGGGTGTGAGAGCACATGCACTGGTGCGGTGTGGGTGATGGTGGTGGTGACAGTGATGGAAAGAGGTAGTCTGTAACGTCTCACTGTAGCTGAAGTGCTAGCTCTGAGTTCCATGGAAATACTTCTTAAGAGAGTTGGAACCTAACCATATTTTATCATTAAGAATAGTTGATGAGCATTTATTACAATCCTTGATCTATAAGAGTATATTATCTAGAGGAGATTAGATTAACTATTAACATGGTTAAAATAGACATAAACAAAACTTTGAATGTATAAAGGGGCATATCATATTTACTTACTCACATAAATGTCCACCTTAAAATATTCCCCTTACAGTGCAATTCAGGTATTTTCATAAAGTATTTCATATTGCCCTGGCCACTGTGGCTCAGTTGGTTGGGCATCACCCCATGCACCAAAAGGTTGCCGGGTTGATTCCCAGGAGGCCATGCAGGAGGCAGCCAATCAGTGTTTCTCTCTCACATAAATGTTTCTGTCTCTCCCTTGCTCTCTCTCCTAAAATAAAATAAAAATCAGTAAAAAAAAATATTTTAAAAAAAAAAGTGTTTCATGTTGTTGCCATTTTCCAGAACACTTTGGGGATGTCTTTGAACAGCCTTTCAGGAGCTAGGCCATTGTTTTCAGGATCTTCAATGACAATACCATGTTATATTCTTTTGAGGACAGATTTGATATTTGAAACATGTAAAAAAGCATTCAGAATTAAGTTTGGTGAATAAAAATGCATGAATAGGCAATACCTAAGTAAGATGATAAAAAGTCAAATTGAAGAATTAAGTACGAAAACTTGAAAATTCTCAATTAAGTTCATATATGTGTACATATATTTTCTGCTCTCTTTGATTGTTTCATTTAAAAAAATCAAAAGAGAAAACTCCCTTAAATTTCATCAGACTCAGATGTAACCAAGGCTGCTCTTTATTCTTCCTGTGAAACTGGTGACCAGTGTCCTAAACACTTACAGTTTAGAGCCTGCTTCTCTGGAGACATGCATATCTGTCTGAGTGTGTTGATTTCTGGATTTACTTATGCCAGTTGTACCTATTATTATAATTATGCAGTTATGAAATACTTGAATTCATATCCAAAACTGAGTTTGAAGCCCTCGTTGGTGTGGCTCAGTCCGCTAAGTGAGGTGTATTGGGTTCGATTCCCAGTCAAGGGCATGTACCTGGGTTGCGGGTTCAGTCTCCGGCCCTGGTCCAAGTGCGTGTGGGAGGCAACCAATTGTGCCTCTCTCACAAAGATGTTTTTCTCTCTCCCTTCCTCCCTCCCTCCCCTTCCTTTCATCCTCTCAAAAAAGCAATGGAAAAAATATCCTCAGGTGAGAATTAACAAAAAAAAAATTGAGTTTGAAGAATTGTTTCTGTAAAAACTAAGATAATTGAAACAATTTGGTTGACAAGTGAATAAAATCATTATTGAATTATGTGTGGATGGAATGGAATAACTATAAAAATTGGGGGATATCATAAAAATATGAAAGGATTCTGCACCCTAATTGTTTCAGAAGTTTCTGAGGTTTTGCTGTACTTCTTTTTTAATTCCTGGGGTGCATGAAATTGTGTGTGTGTGTGTGTACACTCCTTAACCAAAACAACTTGGAAGTCATAGAGAATGTATTTTATAAGTGTGAGATTGTGGTTTAAACCAAAGAGAAAGTACAGAATTTTAGTTAGCACCCCTACTCAAAGAAAAGACCTTGACAACTGCATGAATGTTTGTGGTTTTAAATCAAACATTTTAATAATAAAGGTAATTTTTTAATGATCTCCCTCTTCATCTGATTTTTTAATTAACTGACTAACCACCGATCCCGGTGAAGCTAGAAATTTCTTCTGTATGTATTTAATGCAGTATTTTTTTTTCAAACATATAATGTAGTTGAAAATCAGAACTGTTATTTGACATGAGAGTGAAGCATAGTAATGGTGACAGCATTGATGCAGTTTCTAGTGTTAGCTACTTTTTTTTAATACGTCACCTATGTGCCTGTTACAACTGGTTGTGGATAGAAAGACTCAGCTTTATGGAACAAATGTGATTAAGCTCTCCTTTTGAAAAAAAAAAAAAAAAGATCTACTTTTGTTTTTAGCCCAGTTGCATCTCTGAAAAATCTTTAATCATTCACATGCTTAAATAAGAGGTCGTTTTCTTCCGGTGCCTTCTTGAAGGTGTGATCCTCATCTCCCTGGCACTGTGTGCAGATGCCGTCATTGGAAACGTCCAGGAGAAGGCAATGAAACTGCACAACGCCTCTAACTCGGAAATGGTAACTATTCTAGTGTTTTTCCCTTCGTCTCGGACAGACTCAGAATAGTGATAAGCATAATTTTATGAAATAGTTATGGTATCGGAGACTAACATTGCATTTTAAAACTAGTTTGTCATTATTTTCATAAAAATTATGCATTCAAACACAGGATGGTAAAAAATGAAATGCTACTACCACTGCTAATAGCTTATGGTATAGTATTTGATAAATTTTTCCTTAATGATTTAAATTTTTTACATATTAAAAAAGTCCTTTGATACATCATTTTTCTCCTGTCTTTTTATTTGGTATTGTTTTTCGTTTCGAAGTTTGTAATTTTTATGTAGTCCGGTTTATCTTTTCCTTCATGGCTTCTGGCTATGTATTATGATTGAAAAGGGCTTTTCTAACACTAAGATTTAAGAATTTTACCCATGATGACTATTTTATTATTTCCTCTTTTATTAAATCTTTAATCTACCCAAAACTTTAAATTTCTTCCATATGGCTGTTCACTCATCCCAATATCATTTATTGAGTAATCCACTTTTCAGCATAAGTGCCTTCTTTATTACTTCATATTCTAATGTAGCATCCAGAATTGTATTCTTTTAAATTTTTTTCTGCACCAGAAGCAAATGACGACAGTGGCTTTATCATACAGTTAGTTACCTTCTGCTATGACCAGCCACCATTGCTCCTTTTGTTTTTCAGAATATTCCTACCAGTAGTTATTCTTGGGTGTTCATATCCCCAAATAAAGTAGATAACCCATTGGTATTGTGATTGGTATGGCACTGAATTATAAATTAATTTAGGGAGAATGGCATCTATACCCTTGATTCTTTCAATGCAAGAGTAAGGTATGACTTCCCTTTTATTCAAGTGTTCTTTTTAAAATGTCCTATGGATTTTAAAGTTTTCCTCATATAAATCCAGCACATTTCTTTTGAAGTTAATGTTAGGCGTTTCACCTTTTTGCCATTGTTACTTCAAATAATGCCTTTTCTTCCAGTATACCTTCTGTATGGTATTTGTCTATAGGAAAGTTACGGTGTGTGTTTACATTAATTTTATAGCCAGCCACCTTGCTAGAAAGACAGAGCAGACTGCATTAAGGATATATAGGACTGGCCTCTCCGACTTCTTTGTCAGCGTAGTGGTGATACTCTAAGGAGTCCCTGAGAACATGGGAACTTTACTCTTGGTCAGCGTTTTACCACCACCCTTCCTAGACAAGGTAAAGATAAGAGAATTAAGGAAGTGTAGGTGATTAGAAAGTTACTGTAGTACAGTGATTAGGACCATAGGCTGTGGTCTAAGATGGCTTCAGTTCATATCCTAGCTTTATTAGCTCTCTCATTTGGGGAAAATAACATCTCTATGTTTTAGCTTCTTCATCTGCAAATTGGGAAATGATGATTAAAAGTACTCACATCATAGGTTGGTTGTGAGAAGTAAATGGAATAGTCCATACAGAGTATTATTAGCGCATAACGGTTATTTAAGTTTGATTCCAGTTCTGCTAATGAGAAGTATAATAAACTCAGATAGGAAGATTGGTAGGAAAATTGGGAAATTAAGCAATAAATATGGAATATACTGCTTATTTTTGTTATATTTTAATGTCTTTGCACACTTAACATTTGGGTTTTTTCATATTAATAAGCATCTATAAAGTTTTTTTGTTGTGTTTGTGTATGTTTTTAGAACTCCAACATTAAAATCTTGTTTGAATTTAGTGCAGTAATTAAGTCAGGCAAAAAATGAATAATTATGAAACTGTTGTAAGCAGTGAATTGGCACCAGGAGTTAGGCCGGTGGGATCAGGCTGGACCTGGGCTCAGCAATCTCAGTACTTGGGTTCTGGCTAGGAAAGAATTCAGAGCCAAGACCCAAACTTAAACTGTAAGATAACATTTATTATAAAATCACAGAGGTAGAAGTAATTCCTAGAAGAAATGGGCTGAGGAAACTAGTCAGAGGTAAAGGAAGGGCCCTTGGAGCTTGGGAGTTGAAGAAGGGAATGGTAAGGCTCTTGTGGAGAGGCGGAGCGGGAAGGGAAAGATGAAAGGCAGGGCATCCCCCTGAGAGACCTCACTGGATCCTCTTACTTAAGGGTTTTCAGGGGAGGTCCCAGGGGAAGATCTCAATAAAATATTCAGCAGCTTTCCTGGTGTGTCCTTTCAAGGTCAGGGTCTCCACTGATTGATTGGTTGGCACCAGGGCAGGGCGTCATTCTCCAGTGCAGCTGGTCCCGAGGTCAGCCTTGGTGTCTCTGGTTTTGCCGCTTCTCTGGGCCTGGAGCTAAAATACAACTGAAGTCTAGATGCTTTCTCTAGGGAGGAAGGTCAGGGGGTCCAAATGCAAGGCCAGTGATATGCTAGGGGAGGAAAGGTCACCCTGGGGGATAGGCCCCACCCTACAGTTGTCCTTTGCTAGGCACCTGGGGCTTTCTGCCCTGGTGACCTTCTGTACCTGGCCCATGGTCCTTGCTCTGTGCATGTCCCTCTTCCTGCTGACCACAGAACCATGTATGAAAGGATCAGTACTGCTGTGTTGTGTTGCACCTAAAATAAAGTGTAGACTTATGAAGTTAGGATCAACCATCATTTCCAGAAAGTTAAGCCATATTAAAACGATGATGTTCTTTAAAAATGGTTGGTTCTACAAATGTAATTGAATAGATTAATTAAACCACATGTGAAAATCCTCCGTTTTCTCCTTTGGTTCGATACCATGTCCATTTTATTTTTATCTGCTCTAGGTTTTGTACTCATATTCAATCGGCTTTGTGTACATTTTACTGGGATTGACATGCACTACTGGATTAGGCCCTGCGGTAACATTTTGTTCAAAGGTAAACACTAATCGCATTTTTAAAAATAAATATCTTCCATTAAATAGTTTCCTCTGTATACCTAATTCCCTGTGTTCAAAAGACTATTTTTAGGTAATTTGATAACTCCTTTATATGCAGATCAAAAATTATTTCAGGAATGAAATGATTTATATTTAAATTTATTTTATCCTTGCTGTACCCTATAAGGTAATGTTTAAGCTATTCATGATGTAGAAGCTGTGGCTTTAAAATTTCATCATTATTTTTTCATTAAATCAGAACTAAATAAGAATCTTTGCTTGACTGCATTGTTGAATGGCTTATTATTGCTCAAGAAGTTGATTAAAATCTGTCGTTTTATTTCATTTGTAATACCTCAGGGTTTGTTTTGCATTTTTCTCACAGGCTTTTTTATATGTTGCAGAATCTAATTCGGACCTACGGTTATGCTTTTCTTTTTTCACTCACTGGGTATTTTGGAATCTCCTTTGTTCTGGCTTTGATTAAAAATTTCGGTGCACTTCTTGCTGTAACAGGTAGGAATGATATACTTGCTTAGATTATGAAATAATATTTTCCAAAAGCTAAGGGCATCATCTACTCTTCATTAAAAAGAAAATAGTCATATTTCACCAATTTATTCCTGGGCTTATGGTATTTTTTTTAATTCTAAAGAAAATGATGTTTAATCTTAATGTCTTAATTGAAGGTTTAATTTTAAAATCAAATCTATACATTTATCTAAATAGTACCTTTTGAATACATTAAAAGAACTTTTTATGAAAAAGTATAATGGGATGCTCAGTCAGCGTGGCTCAGTGGTTGAGCGTTAACCTATGAACCAGGAGATCACGGTTTGATTCCCAGTCAGGGCACATGCCCAGGTTGTGGGCTCGATCCCCAGTAGGGGGCATGCAGGAGGCAGCCAGTCAGTGACTCTCGCTTATCATTGATGTTTCTATCTCTTTCCCTCTCCCTTCCTCTCTCTTAAATCAATAAAAACTTTTTTTTAAGCATAATGGGATGAACATCTTCATAGAAAAATAATAGCTTTATACACTTTAATTTATAACTGAAAATTCTAGTTTTGTTGAATTTAAAGTATGACAGATGTATTTTGAGCAAAGCTTTTTGGACACTTTCCAGAACATCAACCAGATGAGCTTCTCTTTTCACCAGCAATTATTAGGCACCTGCTCTCTGTAGGGACTTTTAGAGGAATGGAATTTGTATTCTGCAGTGGAGGATGAGGGAAACAGATGAGGGGCTACAGGTGAGGCCTAAAAGGGGCAACAAGTGGCTCCCCATGCTAACTTGTATTGTTTGCCACATGAACAGTACAGATGATGAGTGCTCTTGGTGTCTCCCATGTGGAGATATTACTGGGGAGATGAGAAAACCTTGGTTCTTGTCTTCTTGAGGGAAAGATTTCAATCAAGAGACAAAATGTAGAAAAGAAAGCAAGAATTTATTGGCTGCAACAAAAATATACTTAGGACAGTGAAACAAGGAAGGGCCTGGAAGGAGCAACAGGAGAGCCTAGGCTGGGCTGCTCTGGCTCACTGGGAAATCAGAGAAAAGGGGGCCTTGGAGACAAGTTCAGGGACTTAGTCTGGGATGAGCTGCCACTGCCCATTGCTTCCCTGGTTGCAAGTCTCATGGGGTCCTTTAGAGATTAGGGGACATGTGTGGGGGAAGGAGAGGGGAAAGGGAATCGCATGGACCTGCTCCCTGAAGGGAGAGCGCACTGGGACCTTAATCTTTAAGGATTTTAAAGGCTGGGCGTTTAGGGGAATTCTTAGGGATAGATCAATAGAATACTCATCAGCTTTATGCTGAGGTACCAAAATGAGGTTTATTCTTAAATTTGTCTGTCCTTGTGTGTGGTTGGCAAATGGCACTGTTGGATTTCTGTTATCTGTGTCCTGAGTAGGGTGATTTAAGGTATTTACCCTCTGGCTGGGGAAGAGAAGTGCAAACCATTTACTCTTAAGTGTCCTGATGTAGGGAAGATAGGATTTACCAGGTGGCTGCATACTGCTGTTTAACTATCTGTCTCAGTTTCCCTATTCCACTTGTCCTGGAATTTTTCTAGCTTCATACTATGCTATAACAGAGCTCTGAAGCCAGGATTGCAAGCTGTGGAAGAGCTCTGGCTTTTCTTGTCAGAGAAGGTGGAGCCCATGCCCGGCTCTGATGCAGGTCAATGACTTGTGACCTTGAAAGCAAGTCTCTCCTCTTTGGGCTTCATTTCTCTCTTTTGTATACTAATTGATTGAACTTGATCATTTCCAGCAGAGATCTGTAGAATTGTTGTTGTTGTTGTTGTTGTTGTTAATCCGCACCAGAGTATATTTTTTCCATTAATTTATAGAGAGAATGGAAGGGAGTGAAGGAGGTGTGTTGGTGGGGGCAGATGGACATCGATGTGAGAGAGACACATCAATTGGTTGCCTCCTGCATGATGCGCCCCAACCTGTGCCAAGGATTGAGCCTGCAACCCAGGTACGTGCCCTTGATCAGGAATCAAACCCGTGACCCTTTGGTCCTTGGGCTCATGCTCTAACCACTGAGCACACTGGCCAGGGCAGAGATCTGTAGAATTTGAATCCATAATGCATATGTACATTAGTCTTTATCTGATTTTAATGTTCGGTGGTTCTAGAGGAATACTTATTTTAATACCACAGAGTAAATTAAATAAATGAACAAATGCCTCTCTCTTTGTAAGAGTATATTTGCTTTCTAACTTTTATCTTTAGTTGCTCTGGTATGACTCTCCTTTTAAAATTTACATCCCTAATGATAAATAGCGGGCATTTCTAGATTAGGCCATATCACTAATCTTTCAATTCATCTCATGCTGTCAAGAAAGATTACATACTTATATACTTAGCTTGGGTTCCAATTTTGCTTATAAGATAACTGTTTTTTAAAAAAGGTTCTTATATCAGCTGGTATTCATTGATTGAGCCCTATGGTTCATATAAAGAAATGTAAGATGCAATCCTAGTCTTGAAGGTGCAGGCCAGTCTATTTCTCTCTCATGAAAAGAAATCCAGAGGTGGTGGTAATAATTATAGCTAATGTGCACATAGCCCTCATTGTGCACTAGGCACTATTTCAGGTAGTTTGCATATATTATTTGTCTTAATCTTGAAATAATCCTATTAAGTACTCACTATTGTTCCATTTTACAAATGGGTAAACTGAGGCACCAGGAGGTTAAGTGACTTGCTCAATAGTCAGCCAGACTCTGCTCATAAATTGCAGAGTCAGGATTCCAGCTGAGGTAGCTGGTTCCAGACCTGTGCTCTTACCCTGTGTGCTATACTGCCTCTCGAGCTAGCGTGGTGTCTCCATGCTCATCAGGAGTCCAGGCTCCTCCTGTGTGCCCTGCCATCTTCACCCTCATTCTAGGCAGTTAGATGGCGAAAAGATGAAGCACACACCTTTCTCTTTGTGGAAACTTCCTAAAAATCACACTCCTAGAGACAGCACTTCTCACATTTTCATTGGCCAGAACCTAATCACATGATCACGCCTAAATGTAGGAGAGGCTGAAAGGTATGCCTGTTTAAAAAGAAGGGTCCTTTTACTAAAGGAAAAGACAGATTTGGGAATTGGGCTTTGGCACGTGTTTCCAAAACAGTTTCTTCATTTGGTGTTCGTTCATTCATGCACTGAGCGTTAGATGCCAGGAGCTGTGGAGTCGGGAAATGGAAGGATGAGTGAGACAGGGAACTAAGTAAAGCGCACAGCGTGGTGGGAAGAGAGCAGCTGATGATGCCAGGTGAGGGGAAAGCTGTGCCGGAGATGCAGGCAGCTTCCTCTCTGCCCCGGGGCACTCGGGAGGAAGGCTCTGGCCTGCAGCAGACCTCGAAGGGACAACTTCAAGGATAAGGACAAGTTAGTGCCAAGAGGACTGAAGCATTGAGCATCGTCTTAGCCAGAGGTGACTACTATTAAGATACTAGATTGCTACCTTTAAAGAATAACCCCTGCTTCCCCTAATCATGTCGTCTTTGGAAAAGCCTTTCTTTCCAGCCACACTAAGTCTCTCTAAGGGATGACATGCCGCCATTGTGCCATGGCCGCCATCAAGTATTTACTACAGTTGTGCTTTAACGTTCATCTGTAATATTTAATGTCTGCACCCCCACTAGACTATAAATTCCATAGTACCAGCAATGGTTACTTTCTATTTGCTTTTTGCTTTCCATTGTTTTCTTGCACTTCACATAGATCCTGGCACATAGTAGGCTTTGTAAATATCTGTTGAATGAATGATTTCCAAAATATTTCCAGGATAGTAGGCACATTCTAAACCAACCTTGTTCTTCCTACAGTGACTACAGGAAGAAAAGCAATGACCATTGTACTTTCATTTGTATTCTTTGCTAAGCCATTCACATTTCAGTAAGTACTTTTTAATTCAACGAGTTTGTCCACTTTCAGATACTTTGTTTCATATTTCCTCCTAAACAGCCGTAATTCTTTGTAAAGCAGTATTTTTTATCTCTATCCCTGATGTATTGATGTGTCTTCTGCTGTTTCAGAAATGTATGTAATTATTTGGAAGAAATCATTTTGTACATTTAAATTGCCTAACCAGAGTCCCAGGGCAAACGTGATCATGTTTGCAATATAAATGAATGTGAGAGATGTGTTGAGATTAAGGGATTCATTCTCCCTTGTCCTAGAGCAATTATATAAATTACATATATATACATATATATATACACACACACACACACATATATATATATACATATGTTTATATATATTTAAATTGTTGGTGTATTTGCTGCCTTTTCTCACGAAGGAGTGAGGTGGAGAAGTATTCTATCAGTTGTGCCCTAATGATTTAGTTTGTGGCTTTTTGTGAAAGCCTTTACTATTTTCTTTACTGTCCAGATGTGTTTGAAATTAGCCCCATTTAAACTTAACCTTGATTAGGAATTGGGAAGATTCGGACCTGGAAATTATCAGTGTATAACTTTAAAAGGAACTGCAAAGTAAATTTCCATCCATGTATTTTGTTTCCTGTAAATTGATTACTCTTGCTGCATGTGGTACTTACACATTATGGTAATCTTTGCCAGTTCCCTTCTCTGTATTTTCTACCCAGCTGGGATAACTAGATGGATGGCTATGTTGTATTTGCAAGATGGCCATTCGCAGATTTACAAATCTAGGGTTTTACGTATACTCTTAAGACTTCTGGTGGGAGTTGGACTTTGAATTCTCTATTATCCTCAAAATTCAAATGAACTATTATTTAGTATTTTGTAAAATACCTTATTTCTATATATACTTAACATAAAAGGTATGACATTCTCTCCAATCTGATCTAAAACTATTTTTGTTTTAACACTATTATTGTAGGTTTTTCATTGAAAATTGTATTTCTTTGCATATTTTTTGTGAATTTATCACCAAATTCTGTGGTGAATAATAAATTGTTACCTTAATGTTGATCTTTTTTTAATGTATCTCTTCTCTTAGGTACATATGGTCTGGTTTGTTAGTTGTCCTTGGTATATTTCTCAATGTTTACAGCAAAAATATGGATAAAATAAGACTACCATCGCTCTGTGCTCTGATACAGAAGACAGTGGAAGTGAAAAAATCAAGGACGTTGGCACAGAATGTATAGGCGGGGATTTCTGCTGTTTCACAGAATTCTGAGGGACCGTTCATCACCTAATTAACTTTCCAAAGGGATTGTCATGAAAACCAAAGGAACTGACGGCATGCTAGCCATTCGTGACCGGGTCACATACGAAGTCAGCCCTTTTCTTCAGAGCACTTGTTTGACTGCCTTCTGAAGCAGCCCAGAGAGCAGCCTCTGTCACACCTTAGAATAACGTGTCAATAGAAAAGACTCTAATTATGAACAGTTTATTGAGAATTTCACTGGAAATGGACATGTTGTAAGACTAATAAGATATCAGTAAGGCGTGTCAGAAGAACTGATATGTAATAGACTTTTGTCTTCATTCCATTTGGGTGGTGTTATTTAAATTGATTCTCTGTTATAAGAGTAAACTGATGGTTTAAAATCTAGAGACAGTAACTTCGTTATAAATAAAAATTACTCTGATTGTTTTTTAAAGAATGTGTTGATAGAATTTTGTTATAAAGAGGGAAGTGAAGATTGGAGTAAGGCTTTACATAAACTTTAAAAATTAGGGCTTTCTCTGATAATGTACAAATATTCTTTAGAGAAAACATGCTTTAATTTTTCTCTGCAATATAGATAATATAGTAAAAGGAGTCATCAGACTGCATCCTATAAGCATGGATCACAAGAAAAATTTGCTACTATTCATCAAAGAGGTGCTAAAAACTTAATCATCAAGATTTTTTAATTGAAGGGAAAATAATTGATGTCTTAAATTATTATAAAATAATAAAATTGTCGTTTTTCTTACATAATTTAATTTCGAAATTATTTTGTCAGGTCGAACATGAAATAAGGTAAATTTTAAGAAATTCAAATAGATATTGCAGATTTGTACAGTTTGTTGCTTGCACAGTTTTGAGTCTAAACTCATAAAGATTTTAAAAGTCCTTATGTTTTAGCAGTGAGTTTTTGGAATTGCTTCCACTATTATATTTTTCAAAATGCTATTACTCTTCATTTTTAGTGTAAGTAGCATTGATTAAAACAGTTCAGCATCTGTGCTATTGGTGATATCACTTGTATTTTGTCAGTGTAATATACTTGGAATATTTCGTCTCAATTCTTAAAATTCCATTGTATAATGATCATGACTTTAACCTGGTATGTGCATATGTGGATACAACAGAGCCAGTGATAATTTAAGGACCTAGCACAAGGAATTCTGTTTTTCACTTGTTATATGTTAAAATACTGTGGGGGTTTTCCCCCCAAATGGTAATCAGTTTTAAGTTTCCATATTTTAAAATGAAAGGAATCTTAATTTCTACTTTATTATACTGCCTTAAATTCTAAGACACTAAGGATTTGTGCTTTTAAAAAAAGTTAATTTTCCCAAATCCTTGATAAAATATTATAATTTTAACTTAATCAGGGCACCCTTTACCTCCATGCTTTGTAAATTTTTTACCACTGTCTGCCTATTACAAACTCATCACCCCCCCCCCCCC